TCGCCAGACTCGCTGTCAAAAAGCGCTATATGCGTCATAAGGAGGACATTGAGCTATGGCTAGAGGTAAAGTTTCAGAGAAATTCTTTTCGTTCTGTTGTTGAGTAGTACCAAAAAAGACAGAATCAGCGGAACCTAAGAGTGCCTGAATTGTCACAGTATACGCTCTACCAGCGTTTTTCGTCAAGCAACCAATCAGTGGAAACCACTGCAAAAATGGCTCACCTATGCCGGGTGGTTCTACGCAGATTGTCTCACACTGCTCTTTCGTGGCAAAGCGATTGTCGTTACCATCACATCCTCCGTACCAAAACTGGGAACAACGTCCCTCGGCCGTATCGTAGTACCAGACCTAAAATTTCGTGATGGGCTCTGAGCGAGGTTTATTTTACGATAATACAGAACACGGGAATTTCTTCCCGTACAAATTTTGTTAATTCAGAAAATCAATTTCTTTGAAAGAACTGACACTAAGCAACCCGTATTCGGTGATAAATAATTAGAGCTCAAGCAGTAGATACAGAACTCGACTCACCAGTTTGTACCCAGACGAGCAAACTGTTCCTTGATCCTGTGGCAGTGCACATGACGATATTTTCGATGGTGCAACAGTACCACCAAGTAGGAAGGGAGCTAATGTGGTTGATGGGCAGCCAGCGTAGTCAGGGCCTATCGCTTTGCTTTCGCCATCCGGGCAACAGCCGTATCTATAATACACATACTGAACGATTGACGAACAAACGCTCAAAATTGGTAGCAAACTGTTCACGACTGGATGTTTAGCCTTTAGCCTGTGCATGCTTGTACCTAAAGTAGAAGCTGAGTTTCTAGAACTCTACCAATGCTACACATCACCTAACATAACCAATTCTGGACAATCCCATTATTCAGTGTTATCCGATGAGTAAGTAATAGCTTGCTGCTTGCTTGCTTACACAAAATTGCCGTAGCTGCTGAATATCAGGGGAGATCGATACCAACCGAATCCCACGATTGTCCAGCAGAATAACGGTACTGCGATAGAGTTCAGAAAAGTATATAAGACAGCCTTGTTGGATGACGAGTAAGGCACTTGTGAGAGTACCACAACGGATCCTGCTGGACGGTACACGTACACGTACACGTGCAGGCACCGCTGTGCCAGACGTGACTTATTGGCAGAATCAGTGCGAGCAGCTAAGCTGCTAGATAGGTTCAAAAATATACTTGGAAACGAGACGCAGTAAAATCTAATCAACGCAGTAAAAAGTTCTGTTACGATCTTACATAGCACATTCGAAAAGGGCCTTGAATGATCAAATCCTCGCTCAAATATCATGCTTTTTGTGAAGGTCTTATATAGGACCAGACCCACACGGAATAGAAGGTGCTTGGGTAATTTCTTTGGTCAGCTAAACGTAATGGAAAGAGACTGTTCATGATTAGCTGGCTTACTACATCGTGAAGATCTCTTGATTATTTCAGAGCGGCACAGTTTTAGGCACCTAATTGGGATAAAACTGTAAGTCCAGGTAACTGTGCAACATAACGAACTTTAGAATGTGAGGCAGAATGATGCGCTCCGGAGAATTCCAAACAATAACTTACTTAGCATATCTACAGTCATCGCAGCCATCATTTCTTGGTCCGAGGCTGTGTTTGCTCGGGTCGGGCAGCATCCATATGAGTGTTTGTACCGGGCAGCCTTTTATGGGACGCTCGGCAGCGCGTCTACCATCAGGACAGCAACCAAATTGACCTCAATATCGAATATGAAGGGCTTTTCAGAGGTCAGTTAACTTGCCAGGACTCACTCTGTGCACAGCTGTCAGGACATCCGTAAAATCCAGCTCCCTTCGCAGAGGTTTTTCCATCAGGACAACATCCATACTGCGCATATACGCATCCACATCCTTCATTATGGTGTCCTTTTGCAGTACCCTTACCATCTGGGCAGCAGCCGTACCTGAATCAATGGATAGTTTCGCTGACACTTGCGAATATGTAACAATTCTTCCGAAACTCACTTCGTCGTCAGACAGTTCTCTCCACATCCGGTGCCATTTGCTCCAAGTGCAGCTCGTTTCACCATCTGCGCAACATCCATGTTCAGACAATTCGCAAGGGAATGAGGACCTAGAGAAAGACTGTGTAATTTAAATTCTTGTTATGCAGCCTGATCAGGGATTGTGAACGCCACTAGCTTTATGGCGATATCGTCTAATAACATTAGGAGAATCGAATGCCCATTTTGTTCGAAAATTTCTTCCAACGGAAAGGTCGTTAAATCGTAGACGGCAACTGCAATTTAACAATGTTCATGTTACTGTACCTATAAAAACCATTTCACATCCCAGCGTAGTGAGCCCCACGCCGATGTCTTAATATCTAAACATCCGTAAAGTGAACAGCGCATGTGGTCACCCAATCCTTCGATTTGGTCCGCGTGCCAACGTAACGCCATCATGACAGCAACCGTACTCTGTTTCGTTGCACGCTCCTTTAAAGGTTTTATCGTCTCCATAAGATTATTTTAATCCAAAATTGATCGCTAATTTTTTTTAAAGCAACATGTGATTTTTTTTCAACGAGTGCTAACAGAAGCACAGCTAAATCTCTAGCAACGTCATGTAAGAAGAATAAGATTCATGGTTCTAGCAGTTTACCGAGTACGAATTCTGGACATCCGGCATTATTCGGTCCTTCGGCAGGAGTGAACCAATCAGGACAACAACCGAACTCGGATTTCGAGCAATGCATTGTGCCGTTTCCATCGGTACCATTACCTTCAATAAACCACTTCTTTTATAATAGTGAATAACCTTTTTAAGAAGTGACATTTCTAAAGGTACGAGCGCTGTGGTAAAACTTGGATAGATTGTAAACATCAGTTGTGCTCACCAGATTCGGCCTGCTAAATTCCCAAGAAACGACCCCTCCGGTACAAAACAACCCCACATTCGGTCTACCCAAAAATACGGTTGACCCTGGCTCTACTGCCTTTGCTGAAACTCGCCACTCACGATCTTACCGAAAAGGCCGTCGAAATCTGTTGTCGTAGCATTTGCTGCAGCACAGTCCACCGTTGCCGTTTCGCCATTCTCGCTCTTCACCTGACATTCGCCGCTTTTCTGCAAACGATGTTTCAGAGGTGTTCTCTTCAGCGGTGCAGATTTAACTTGAAAAAAAAAAACACACACATTGATTTATTCTACTATTGCTTCTAATAAGCAATGAACCGCAGCAGCAAAAAAGAGGATTTTATCGGACTTGTTCAGTTCTAGAAGGTGTAGCCGTCACTGTTCACCTTTTGTGCCATGAATAAGCTTACCGCCTGCCAAGTACGTCCCGCATTCTTATTTAATGAAAACATTTTGAAGTAGAATCAGTAATCATGACAAGGCCCCTTTTCCGCAAGTTACCACCGCAAACATCTGCGTTAAAAAAATGGAATCCGCTACCATGGATGCGTGAAGTGATGTCTCTGCCCACCGTAACCTCATGGTGATTACGGAAGATTTCTGCACATGACTTACCTCTTCTCCAGATCCTTCTCCGGCTTCCTCGAGGTTCAAGGGCGACTCAACGAACTCTTCGCATCCTCTTCCGCCCTTACCTGTGGCTTCAGTGTAGTTGTCGGCACAGCATCCGAATTCGCTGAGACTGCAGTTCGAACATCCCTAAAAGGATCAAGAATTTTGTATCAAAGAAATAGGCAGGTTCTGCCAGTTTCCGAGTGGCCTAGGCGAAATTCGTGACGACAAAGGTGTAGCCAGTGCTGCCAGAAGTATAATAGACCAATTTCTTCAAGACCTGCGCTATCTACTCATTACTCTTGATCTCTCGGATCGTACCTGATTGAAATCTCCGGTGGCGAAGGTGGAATTATCAGGACAGCATCCGAATTCGGAATCGAAGCATGCTGAAAAACTGGTAGTAATTTTGATGTTGGTCGCAATGCTTATGGAAAAGCTCCAAGATCAATTGAAGTTCCCCATATTTATTTATATAATCGTATCGCAAGGGATAAATGTAAGCGAAGTCTGAATTAGTCGAGCATTTTGACCATAACTTCGTTCACCTTGCAACAAGGAACATTAACATTGCGCAAGCATTTTTTCTTTCTTTTCTAGAACCAGTCAGTACAGTGAGAGTCGGGTACAGACGAGCTGCTGTTGTAGGCGCCGCGAACGGCTGTCAACAGTTGGATAAATAAACTTCCATTAACATGTGCGAAAAAGGTGCTTTCAGATGAATTCTCGTGCTCCATTCTTTCCACAGCTTTCATTTTCTCCCGGATATTTCTTCGATAAACCAATGTCATTGAGTAAGCGCTTCGTAACATGCGGAAATTTAGACGATTCACCTCTGTCTGTATATAAGTGACAGAGAGGAACATGTGAGTTATTTGCTTAACTCAAATTTTAGCAAAACTTTGAATCAGAATATAGCAGCAGTTACATAGTTCCTTCTAGTTTTAAAAGAATCAAAACCTATTCGGTGCTACACTCACATGGGCATTCATCGGTGTTGCACTCCTGGTTTAGGGTAGGCATTTCGGCTTCATCACACCACTCCGGAACCGGCTTCTTGTCATAATTGAGGCAGACTGCCACACGTTCTTGAGTTCCTCCTCCGCACCTAAAGCATTTTAGCATTTTTTAACTATCAAATTTTTCGGAGTTAAAAACCCTCGTTTCGCGTAAGCAAAGTCAATTCAACATGTAGAAAGGTAGGAATGAAGATAGCGTGCAGAGCTACAGAACACTGAGGAATAGGTTCGTTGTTGAGCAGCAGCGAAGAACAATCTGACATTTATAGGGCAAGATCTATGGTCTAGGGTCTCTACGCGCTTTTCATCACTACACTAATTCCTGTCTGCACACTAATTCTAAAAACTTGTGCTCGGAACAAGCAGGCCCAACATTGGTTATTCAGTAGCCAAAAATGGTTGGGACTCTCAAATGAGGGAAAAAGAAGGGATATCTGTCAATAAGCCCTAACACTCAGAGATAAGAATGTAGATCTTGCGACAGTTGGAAGGGAAAGTGAGAAATCAAACACCTCATACAGTGTGACGATCAGGTTCAGCTTTGAATTGCGAGCGTGATGGTTACTACCTCACTGCTCCTACTCGCCCTCACGCAGAGTTTTTTTCAGCAGTTATGAGCATGTTGTTCCCTCTAATGCAAGGAATACATGCAAATGGGGGTCACAATTACGCGAAAGTGTCGAAAGGCGGTACGCATATGAGATATGAAGACTATGACAAAGTGAACTCACTCTACACTACACGGTGACCACGGACTACTGTACCATGTGCCGGTACACTTCTCTTCATTGGTACAGTTGGTCTTTCCCTTCAGGCTTTTCACCTTGACACAATGCTTCGTCGACCACCTAAATTGCAATCGATAATCCTGTATGCCAATGAAATATCCAGTGTAGGCTGATTTAGAAATTTATACCGTCACGTCGCCTTCTTCGTGAATCGCACAGATCACTCGTCTCGTTTTGTGTCATGACCGCATTCAGTGGAACACTTCGACCATTGACTAGCCGTCCCAATCGTAATTGCAGGCTGTGGGTGCCAAGCTCTGGCCAATAGCTGTGATTACACACATAACGGTATATTTCATGAGCTCTTTTAGAACCAGACAGCTTTTTTGCAAAGAAATTCTTTCCTCGGAGAGTAGTTCAACTGGTACAAGTGCATACGAGAAGGTCTTTCAATATTTTCTTTACAAATTAAACACAGTTAGTCATAATGTTCACCCCTACGACTGCTGAGGAATCCTAGCTGGATAATTTGTTATAGCCAAGAGTATTGCTTCCGTAGCTAAAATGTAGAGAAAATTTCAAATGAGGAACCTGGTGTCTGGTGGTATTTCCTTCTCATCATCTGTCAGACACTTTTCTAGAGGATACGCACGCCCTTGGGTGTCTTTGCAGGTCACCTCACGTGTCTCCTCAGTATCATTGCACTTTGAGCACTGAAATCAGACATTTAATACAATAGATGAAACTGATTCATTTTCACTCAGAATTAGTGGGAAGTAACGTCAAGAACTGAAATTACTGTTGTTAACCGACCAGTTTCCAGTCCGTTGTGAAGAATTTAAGGCCAGTGCATGGTCCAAGATTGCAACTTCGTTGAGATTCCAAGGTGTTTTCGGAACTGCATGCCTGAAAAGTCAGTACTATGGAGACTATCACATTTTCTAAAAAAAGACTATCAAAGGGCGGAAACTGTCAAATCTACGACAAGCAGCAGATAATCAATGTTGTAAACCATTTTGTTTGAAAGGTTTAAGCTCTTGTGACATACACTGCGACGCATAATTATAGTTCCACCTACAAATTTCCCAAAAACTTGAATCTGGGGATGTTTTTGGAAAAGGCTCTACAGATAAATTGTGACACATATACAATTTTTTATCCTTTTTTTTCGAAAATATCCGCTTTAGCTTCTCCGCTGCATTTTGCTTTTACCCAATCAAAATTTGGAATTATTATCCATTCAAGTTCCTTAGCTTATAGCAAAGGCAAAACCGCTGTCACACTTCCGTAAAAGGGAAATCCTAGCAAAAGAGACGCAGGAATTGTCAAAGTGTCAGCTCCGCTGGAATTTGTCGGGGTGACTTCATAACGAACAAATTTCTCAAGGATGCTACAGGATATGACTGGGAGGAACCCTGATTACTATCCGACTGAGATAAGCGCCGTATCGTGAGAAAATGATATCCAGCCGGGTACTGAAATTGTAGGTGGAACTATAATTATGCGTCGCAGTGTACATGTCTACAAAATGTGTTTACTCTGGGCACCACCAAAAAAGAATCGAAGACATGGCTGTCACAAATTTGAGAAATTTGTAATCGCTGCTCTGCTCACTTCTTACCCAACCTTTCTTACCCAACAAATAGAGTATCACTTACATCAGCCGGCAGCAGTTTGCCTTCTTCGCCCTCTTTCTCTGATCGACACGTGACCGAACGATATTGGAATGCATCTCCACACTTTTCAGAACAAGCCGACCATGGCCCTGCTTGCCATTCAGGACAGGCAAACCTGAAAAAAGCAGCTTTACTAGTGACTGATCTTCAGGACTATTTGGGAGTTCTACCAACTTAGTGGGGCTTGTGCGTATGCAGCTATTGAATATTGAGAAATACTGTATTTTTATTGTAACCTCTGCTCCGATGAACAGCTCCATCACAGTACAATATAGTTATGACTCGTGTACGAAATGCACGCTCAAAAAGAGTAGTTGCCGAAGAAAATGTTCTGGCACGTTTGGAGATAATGAAGAAGAGAATGAACAGGGTGGGTACCCAAACTACACAAAACATTTGTGGAAAATACAAGCCACGAGGTTTAATACAAGTGGTATGGGCAGGTTACAAGGCTTCTGTCAACCAAAGGGTGAGAGCGTAGCTGGAAAAGCACACACTTTGTGTCTTATTGGGACTAAGCCTTTTGAAGAAGATAAAGAAAGAGGAGATGCTGTGATAGTGTGCACTTGTGAGAGCTCCCAGACATCACTACAAAACGCTGAACCGCCAAGGCTCACGGTTGACAGATGTCCTGAGACCATTTTTGAATACGGTAGGCGCGAAATGTGTGTGTGTAGCCTCCTACTCAAAAGCGAGAAAGTGTCGGGTGCACCACCATACACAAGTTACGGCGGCTTCCGAATTAAATCTGGTGGAAGCGGTTCATAGTGGTAGCTGATTAGTTGGTAAATGATAGCAGTAATTAGTGACAACTGATAGAATACAACTGCAACAGGCTAATCATTTCATTGGCAGAAAACATTTACATTTTGTGGAGGCGTCGTCACTTGTGGTGTATGGTCTGCACCCGACGCTTTTCCGCTTTTTGAAAGGGAGGGTACGTAGGCACTGGTGCCCACTGAAATGACGTGACGAGACGCTATGAAGGAACTCACATATTCCATCTTCTCACGCATGTCAAGTGACTATCCTTACTCCACTCCACCTAGCAGGGGCTATACTTCCCCCTGGCCTCCACTCCACCTAAATTGGCTATACACCCCCTGGCTCACGAATTTCCCGATTCTCGTGACACCATAATAACGTGCAGAGCCCCCACCTACATGTAATTCGCGCCTACCGTACAAAGATTAACGCTGCCATCCCATTTGTATTGCACGAAAGCCGGTACGGATAGGAGAGCCGCAAAAAGCCCCAGTGTTACATGCTGCGCGCATGATTTAGCGGCACAGCTCGCGAGTCACGGGCTACTTGGGCTTTTCCCCGACCGTCCTACTTGCGAGTGGCTGGAGCACAGGCGATTTGGGGAGAAACCAGCTAGCTACCCAATATAGGCTCTATGCAGCCAACTAACGCGGCACAAGTTCCCCTCATAGTGCTACAATGGGAAATACTGTGAGCCATAGGGAATGAGGGCAATTTTGGATTAGAGAGTGCGTGAACCGCCTTTTCATGTTGTGAAAGTTTGAACATGAGAGGTCGCGGATCTATTCCAGTTAGGGGCATCATGATGCAGTTTCTCGGTGAACTCGAACATTCCAGCTTTTCACGCATGTCAAGTGACTGCCCTCACCCCCACCCCCTAGGACTGGCTACACTTCCCCTGGCTCGGAGTTACCTTAGCGTTCTGGAAAAACTGCATCGATGCCCCCCCCCCCTAACTGGAATAGACCGTGGTCGCTATATTCTAACCGCTATTCAGGTGAGAGGGCGCAGACGAGGGCAGCACATCACAATTATTTTGAAAGACCAAGTTCAGGTAGTCGCCAGACACGCAATCGGGGCCTCATAAACTAAACTCCAGCGTCTCCAACATGCGCCAACATCCTACATTGACGCCCTTCGCGCTTTCCTCACTTTGTGCACCGTCCTCACCGTGTGCAAGTGCGCATGGGCTCGAAGAATTGAAAGCACCTTTCATGGCTAGGTGCTTGTGTTGTGCACACGGATGGGACATCGCGGAGCCTTAGCTGCTACCTCACACAAAGCCGATGGGTACGGACTTTGCGGAACGGGGCGATTCTTTAGCCGTCAGCGCTGGCAGCGCGGCTGCGCGCAACGCCTGGTAAGGCTGCTTTCATAGTTCGCATCGGTGCGGTCGGTGCCGACGGCGCCGACGGCGCCGACCGCACCGACAGTGTGAAGAGCGTCAATACGCACTCTGGCGCATGACGCGAACGTTGGGCGCAGATCGCGTGCTCCGATCGATAATCCTGGTTTTGGTGTATTTCTTGTGCTTTTCGATGTTTTTTTTTCGCGCCGTGTTGCTTTAATTCGTGTGTTTCCTGTTCATACTTATTCTTTTATGGGCGCAATGTGGCTCGGGGGGGGGGGGGGGAAGTCGGTGCGCGGCTCAGCGATGTAGTGTAACTCGAACATTCCAGCTTTTCACGGGACATTTCAGCTTCTCACGCATGCTAAGTGACTGCCCTCACCCCCCCCCCCCCTGAATTGGCTACACTCCCCCTGGCTTGCGAATTTCCTGTTGCCGCAACGCCCCGCGCGGCGGCTGCCCCCCCTCCGAGCCACATTGCGCCCTTTTATGTCTTGATTAATACTTTCCAGTTGTTCCGCGGGCGAGCGACGTCGTGAACCCGTCGCACAACTCCGGGTGGATGTGGCCATACCGGGTGTGTTGGTCGTAAGCAATTTTGTTTATTCATATGAAGTGAGTGCAAAAAACATCGAAAAAATACAAGAAATACACCAAAACCAAGATTATCGACCGGAGCGCCCCATCTGCGCCCAGCGCACGCGTCATGCGCCAGAGCGCGTGTTGACGCTCTTCACACTGTCGGTGCGGTCGGCGCCGTCGGCGCCGTCGGCACCCGACCGCACCGATGCGAACTATGAAAGCAGCCTAACGCCTACCCAAGCGACGAACGCTGCCATTGCTTGCAGCAACATTCTGCAAAGTTTGACATACGGCCAAGTGGGAGTCAAAAAATGGGTAGGAGTGCTTTCTCAAAGCGGCATCTGTTCCGAAAGTGGGCGTGCCGCAATAAAATCAATTTCTCGCTTGGCTTACCCTCCTTTGCCACCCTTGGAAAAAATGGGCAGAGGTTGTGGAGGAGGGGAAGTCAAGTGAGAACGCAATTCTGATAACCACCTGGTCAGTCTGCCCCTCACTGCAATTACGTTGTTGGATTTTGATTAGGCTTCTCTTCCCCCTTTCGCTAATAAGAAGATGAATTCCGTCGCTCATTACTGATACATAACTGCTTACCTATTGCACACTTGTCGCACCGCTGGTCGCTCGGAAGTACAGTTTCCGTCCTCGACGGTGATTCGTCGGCCATTCGCGAAGATCTGTGTAGAATAAAATTCTTCCGTAAAATAAATAAGATTGATAGAATGCAATATTTACAGTCCCGAAGGCGGTGATTACGGTGATTGGAGGGCGTTCCGGTTTTGATGACGGTCACTTAAATGTCATTGGTGGGAAAGTCGTAAAGAGGCGGTCTCAACGACATGCTCGGCGCACGTGAGGAGTATAAACCCATCAATGACGTCATCAAAACCGCACCGCCTTGAGCCATCGTGATTACTGCCATCAACCTTTTTAAAACCTCCATGGATGAAAAAAGAGAACCAATTGATGTAAACGCCCATCATTTAGAAAGGGCTTAATGAACTCGTGGAACCGTAATTTGCGCGCTGGAATCGGTCCAAATAAGAGTGGTTTCCAATTCATCGTATAACTTCGTATAATTTCTAGCTCGTGGTGTTTCTAAAGAAGCGGAACGATCGGGAATTGGAAAATGCGATTTTGAAGGGGTACGGCTGAGAAGGAAACTTTTCCAATTTATTTGACAAGTAGGCGTCGAATGGCCGATGCGATGTGAGGGTGCGTAGCACGAGAAAGATGAGCTGTGACCAAATCGCTGGGCGATCCTTACAGGTCCCGAATTTTCTCTTTGTCGACGACGATCCTAAACATAGCATCCCACAAATCCCAAGCGCAGATGAGAAGATCTCTGAGATAATCTGGATACTTGCAGCTAAGAGCTGCTGTACTGAGGCTTAACACCAGGTGAAGACATTCAAATGTACACTCCTCAATTTAACAGGTGTGATCCCTTGCACTCGAAATGGGGCAGGGTGCGAAGTGTACCATTGTTAACGAAAGGAAAAAAGAAAAAAAAATCCGTCGAAAGTGTTAGAAAAAGGGTTTATTCATTTTTGTAATGGGGCTGTGCTGAGACTGCGAAGGACCTCTGTGAGCGCGGAGGAGGGATGGATCGCGAGAGACGTACAATGGAGAAAGGGCGCAAATACCCGATGTTGCACATGAGGCGAAGATAGGGGGGCACAACTTGATACATCAAATCATTTATGTGCCTTTAAGCTACCTGGGTTCTACGCCTATATTACTACAGGCCGATCTGTTCACAGAAACAAAGTAAAAATTAACCTTCAAGAGAACTTTTGTGGATATAGCAGCATCTCTCCCTCAGCATCGCCATCAGGGCCCAAAGTGCCAGACGTGAACTCGCTTCCTTCGCACGCTATAAAAAGATGAGTTAATGGATTAGGCCCTCGGAAGCGGACAGCGATGAAACTCCTCCAAAAGTTTTGAGAACGTGCCGAGGTACATCTCAGGCATGAAAACTCACCAATTGAAAGTTTTCTTCTGATCATCTTTGCGTGCAACGTTGCACCCACAGCAATTGGGGAACAGGGCGGAGGTACTCGAACCTTCTACCACATTGCTTTCTCTCGTAATAGTCAAATGATGAAGCTCGGAGTTGTGTACTGTCGATCTATGTGGAATTTCCACGCGGCCTCAACCGTGGCAGCTTGCAAGAGCTCTCAAAGGCCGATAAGTTTTTACAATTAGCCATTTCTGACTACGAGTTTGTGGCCTCAAGAGAGGGGCACCAGGGCGCCGCGTGGGGTTCGCATCTCAAGCTCACACCTCCTCCCCCCAAATTTCGTTTGCCAATAGTTCAGATTTTCTTCTAGATTCGATTGCAGAGGCAAATAATTCCAGCCTTACCTGATGGCAGTACACTACGCGATACTGCTCGCCCTTATCACCGCAAGTTTGAGAACACGGTTCCCACTCGCCTTCGAACCATTCAGCTTCGCAGTCTACAGTTTCGCATGGCTTCTCGAACTGAAATGAAATAATTTTTAACAATGAGAAGCTGAGTTCAATGCCATCAATTATTGTTTTCGTGCAATTGAAACAGTCGTGCTTGGCGAGAACGTGTCCTTCTTCCTGGCGTATAAGTGTGTGGTAATGTGATGCATTTGCATGAGCAGGTGCAAAGATGTCTTATAATGGAATGAGGTACACCCACGTAAGGGTTTAATAATATCTGACGTGAGAATCAGGCGTGTTCAGGCGTTGAACAACTTTATATTTGTCTGCCATCGAAGCCAAAAATTGTGACTGTACCGGCAGAAATCGCATATCAATTTTTTTTTCCAAAATCATCGTATTATTTCATTCCTCTTATAGATGACTGTGTACTAGTCGTTTTTTCATGAGAAAATATGAAGATTGTGCAAACCTCCGGCTTCGTTGAGTTGGCGTCATCACAGAGTTGATCATCAACTCGAGCTTGCGTCTTGGTTTCTATGCAATATGGTGTCCTTGTTTGTTGACCTGAAAACTATTGATTTTTTATGTGAAACAAAAATAAAATCACAGAAAAGGCCTTTCCCTCAACTGTCGCCCTGTGTGCAGATAATGAATTAGAGAGCTAATCAGGCCAAGAGGGAATTGGAGGGCTATTTCTCCAGTAGTCCTTACGCAGGACCGCTCAGGCGCAGGGTCAACCCTGAATCCGAAAATGTTCCAAATTGGATGACCCTCCCCTTGAGAGATCTTCCATGCGATCCTCCGTCATCAATTCCTCCACCGGTTTGATTTTTTCCTATGGTATTTGATCCTAACATTAGAGACACAATCCAACGACGCCTCAAAATCGGGCCTTCCAAAACTTGCATCCGCCATTGAAGGAGGAGGAGAAGGGTCGCGCACGCAGCCCAGCAATGGCAAACGGCCAATTCTACGTATCTCGTTACATTCCGAGAAAATTGTTGCAAGGTTTTCTCAATCGCCTCTCCTTCGCCCAAAGCCGCGCTCCCTCTTCGAACGCACCCTCTTCAAGTTTCCATCACTGCGGCACCCCTGACTGAACCCGAATGGGACCCCTGACCCATTCCAAAAATCACAAATGCAGCCCATTGACCGTATTACGGCGATTGACCCTGCCCGGGTAGGTACGCGATCACAGCAGGAAATCTATCGTGGAAGAAAATTCGCCACTCTGCTAGGAAAATGTTTCTTTAACGATACTTAGCAACGCCTGCGTCCTTGACTGGAGGAGCACTCCACCCTTACAGTCAATATGAACTTCAATTTAAAGCCGATAAGAAAAACTAGACTGTTCACATGACGTCTGTTGTCTGCTCAAATCTCACAAGTGATTTTTTGTTACCATAAACAATTTACCTTTTCCACAAGTGACAGAACATGCCGACCATTCTCCAGGCTTGTACATGTAGTCAACCTCATCAACAATTGGGACGGAAAACTCGTACTTGACCGAAACGTCTCTGTTTCCTTTACGGATCAGCACAGACACGACGACTTCCTGGAAAAGGAACAGTTGTCTCTAATTGCTCTCTGTTTCTTATTTGATTAGTGAAAGTCACGTAACAAGCCACGAAAATGCTTATTTTTGCTGCTTAGGTACAGTCAACTGCGTGTCATCCTATTGGCTCTCTTGTATAGTTTCTCAGCAAGAGGAGATCAATTCGAATCAAAAGAACAGCGCGATATGGTTCAGTGAAATTATTTTGTTTCGAACGAAGAACACTCTTAGAGTTGATGCTATGAACCACAAGTATCCCCAGAATGTTCCCTGCTGGCTTTTTACGATCGGTCCCTTTCTCGAGGAAATTATGTCAGCATTATTTTTTGACGTTAGCGGCCTGCTATTTTCACTCATGATAGTCGTTGAAAAAAAAAAAAAAAAAAAAAAAAAAAAAAATAAAAAACAAAACAAAAACTCTGTTCTTGAGTCATTGTTTTATAACTGAGCATTGAAGTGAACTTAAAGGAAGTGGTCACGATAATTTTCATGGGACGATAAGGAAAGCTATGTATTGGAGTGGATAGGGTCCTGCCCAATGTTAGAACACGTGAAGTTTCAGTGGCAGTGGCGCCTTATCAACGGAGTGATAAGGCGCCGAAATCCACTTCCGTTCAGCAAAAACCAAGACTTATCGATGTGGAAAGGGGTGCGATAAGAGCGTGCTAGATATGATACCGTTATCGTTATCGTCCCGTTTTCATTCTGGAGTGCACCTCTTATCAAGCAGCCGCACCTTCTTATCTCATCGTATCATATCTTCCATGGGCTTACACTCGTCCAACAATTACTGCCTCACACCTTATCGATTGATAACGAGGGTAGCAAATCCAGCGTGGAAGCCAGCGTGACTGCTTCCTTTAATATTACGCTGATTTGGACAAAAAAAGCCTACATGAACTTAAACAGGCAGTTATCCCATGGCTGGGGCGGGTGCGGTTTTTGATGACTCATGAAGTCATTTAGCTTCATTCCCGGTCATTGGTGCCTCTAGCGGAGTGTGCGAGCGTGCGCGTTGAGATCGCTTCTTAACGTGCTTCCACAAACGGTGTCTAGTGACGTCATCAAAACCGCACCGCCCTCCAGCCACCGTGATTACTGCCTTCTTGCACGAGTTAGATGTTCGACTTATACCAAACACATTCTGGTAAAATCTACAGAGAATCCTACAGTATTAGGAGCAATTGAATCCTGATTCTGTGTGCCAAACGGCGTTGTCTACTGAAACCAAACACCGTTGGCATACACAGTGCCAAATTCAGGCCGAAAAAGGCTGGTAGCTGACCAAAACGAGACTCTCTAAGCTTCTTGTTTTACCAAAGTCCAGACGCTACCTCCTTTTTCCATTTCTGTCACTAGACACACGGTAATTTCCACCGGCGCTTCAATGAAGACAATACTCTTGTTTTGCGGAAAATCAGCGGGCACTCCTCCAGCGGTCCCTTAGCAGTAATTTTCTCCGGCTTTCCATCATCGTATTCGAAGTGGACACCGTTTAGTTCGACATCCCTTTCCACTTGAATCATAGAGTTCCCGTTCAAGAAATAGTTGGTCGACGAGTTCTTCATAGGCTGAAACGCTGTTTTACCATAGCATTTTCGAAGAAATATGTGTCACGTGATACTGATGATTTTTTGGTTCTCTGATTAAAAACTCATAACTGGAACAAACCTAGGTTGTTTCGAGCTTGGGCGGGCCTCTTCTATTCTGATGGCTGTGGCTCCTACCGGAATTCGCATGACATCGTGGTATCCAGGCGAGAGATTTCGCTCATCGAAAGACCCTTCGATTGTTTTGCATTTGGAGCCGTCCCCGTCACACACACCGCATTTGTCCAGTTTCAGTGCTAAAGTTTATACATAATATCATGAAGCAAAAATAACCCAACAAGTGACCACAAAGTATATCGCATCACGCCTTTGTTATGGAACGGTGGTACAGAGCATTTCGCGTTGATCTTTCCTCTAAGATGCGCCATTCTAGATCCATTTGGATCATGTGACCTTTTACTGCGAGATAAACCCATACCAGCTCTATTGAGGGACAGCTGGTATTAAGATACGATGGGTTTCATCCTCAACCTTTATCAACTAATTCAAATGTAGAGCGCATTCAGTAGCTTCGACTCAGCCGGTTCTTGGCCCCGTAAGGTGTTCGTGGTGAGCGCCGCCACTTGTTACTCCCTGCCATACATGGCCGTAATTTTTCAAGCAGATTTCTTGTTGGATATTTTGCGATCAATTGCATACTGAAGCGACTAGTAATACAGTACTTGACCTCTAGCCCCGTCATTATTGAAGTGAATGTATGTGTAGAAAGTATCAGACAGGGTGCAGCATGAAGGTTTTTAGTGTTCTCGGAATTTTTTACGCAATCAATCGAGCAAAATCCAGACCTAATAGTAAGCTGAAGGTGAGCAAGAGCACCCTTACTATTAGGTACCGGATATCTTAGTGTCGTTTTTTCACCGCGAGTTTCGGACCACCAATATTTTAATTCAAAATCCAGTGAGTGAAACGGCATATCCATCGAATGACTCATTAGCCCTTTCCCATTTACCAGTATGAGTGAAAACCTCGTACGATTAAAGTTAGGAATTTTTTGAGACGAAAAAGAGAGGTAGGTCGAATTTGACATCATCTGACAAATCATCCCTCTACCTTGCTAAACAGTTGGGCCTGGACAAAATATGTATACATTTAGTTAGAGTAGGGTCTGCACTGTTTGGTGGAAAATTTATTACTTACCAGCTCAACTGGACAATTTTTCCCGGAGTCTTTTTTGCCACATAGGGTCAAAAACGCACCCTTTTTGAGCACACGTGAGTAGCAGATGAGCACATTTATTAGAATTTCTTGGTCAATCAACTTCGTTAGAGCGTCTGTGCACCATCGATCAGTAACTGCTAGGGTGTCCTACCATTCCAGCACAAGACTGGTGCAGCCCCGTTTTGACTGATTTAGCTAGGACCACCTTTTTGGCGACGGTTGCGGGCATCCCTTCAAAGACTTTACTGTCTTTTAAGAAAACTGTGAAAAACCGATGAGCATTTTAAATGGTAGTATTCCCTCCATCAAATGCAATGCTGGTTTGGTGGGCGGAGGTTACAGCTCTCAGCAAGAATTTTGATGCATTTGGTACACACATGCGAATTTGCACACTGGACCCAGGAATTTTCAGAAGAAAGTATAAAAATTGGGGGAAAGTTAAATTGTGAACCAACAATAGAAGACGGTAAGCAACATATTTCGCAATATTAATGAGCAAACCTG